GAGAGAGAGAGAGAGAGAGAGAGAGAGAGAGAGAGAGAGAGAGAGAGAGAGATTCGGATTATTGAAGCCTGACTGCGCGCGAGAAGGAGCGTACATTTAAATATATTTTGAGAGAAATTTCGATCTCCGATCGATCCGGGCCTTTGTCGGTGCCAAAAATTAATCGGGGTTATACTCGCAAGGCTAAATGGCAACAAACTTCAACTCGCGTGAGAAGCAGCTCTGTTTGAAACGTGTAATGTGCAGCTGCGTGAACTCGTTATTCGACATTTCGTAAGTGGCGCGCGCGTGCATAATTAAATATTAATGATTTCGAGCGATATACTTTGACACACATATACATATATATATATGTATATATATATATATATATATATATATATATATATATATATATATATAATCACTTGTACTTATTAATTTTTAATTCATGAGGCGATCCTGCAAAGGGAAAATGTAGGTGCCTCTAATTAGTCGCTTGTATCCAGGTAATATCGATTACGAGATACAAGGAAAATTAATTAATTTTTCGAGATTGCTGTAAACTCGCACAAGTGAATAATTTAAATCGGGAGGTCCATGATAGTGCGTAATGCAAAATCTAATGATGAAATAATAGTATGAAAATATTGTCCCTTGGCTGCGAGAAACATATCATTTTTCTGTCGAGAAACATATCACTTGCGAAATCTTTCAACTTGCGCTCACTTAGCTGCGGCGATTTCCTAACACAATTTTATTTGCGATAAAATTAGAAAATATTGCAAATGAAAAACTTGAACAATATTGCTTAAACAAAAATAATTAAGATTCATTACGACTAATTAATCGGGAGATCAAGGAATTTTTGACGGAAAAGGTGAGAAGGGTAGAGCGATTCATGAATAGTGGATCTGCGAAATTTCAGCTCGTGTCGCGCGACATCGTCAAATAATACCAATTCTATTATTTTCCCGTCGGACTTTACATTGCGCACTATCACCCGCGTTTGAATGAGTTCGATATTGACTCGATTGCAATACCTTTTTGTATTGGTACGTTCTTGAAACCGGATGAGGATAATCGTACGACATCGTTGCAGCGGGGGAAATCATAGCTCGGCGCGAAGGAAGGAAACGATCACAGTCTGCAAGGAGAGAATCAACAATTCGTATTGTCGTACGAAACACTCGTGAAACAAATGGGATATCGAACAATCGACTCGGAGGAAAGAGCATGAAGCGAAAATTGCGAAATCTACAGCGACGCGCGCGTTCGATCGTTCTCAGACGGAAATTCTCGATTATCCACAAGTCGACTCGCCTCGACAACTGACGTTTCGGCTGCGACGTTTTACATTTCACTGCATTTCCATGTTAGAATACGAAAACGTGGATCAAATGTGGCGGACACGCGGGCTGACATTAGACCCACACAAGCGAGTGCACTTGGTGAAGTCTCTACACCAACTGACTCGATGCTCTCCGCTGCCATTCCGACACAGGCTACCCTCACCAGTTTCGAACCCTCCGGAGAGGCTACTTTGGATAGGAAGGTCGCTCCAAATGGTTCGTTGCGTTGTAGCTACACGCGCGCACCGTTCAAGCGAGAGGGTAACGAAGAGACGAGCGATTACACACGCGACAATAATTCCGGCTCGTGATACTTCAAGTGGATCTCACCGTGAGCTTCTGTCGAGAAACATATCACTTGCGAAATCTTTCAACTTGCGCTCATTTCAAGCCTACGATCTTGAGGTGATCTTCAGCGAGAATTACTGACATACTATATATATATATATATATATATATATATATATATATATATATATATATATATATACACATACTTGCTGCTCCAATTTGCGCGTAAAATGTTACGACAAAGGGGACCCGACACGATTGGCGCGGAGATCACTTTCCAGCTTCTTCCCTTTTCGAATAATTTCTTATTTACTCGACCAGAGTTTGGATCATGCTTGTTCGTCGTGCGTACTGAATACAAGATTGAATGGTGCCGTTTCAGTCGCGCCATACGATAATTAATAGCGTGCGTGGCGAGCGGCATTGGATTACCAATTTCACAGGCGAGGCTTCATAGTACGCGCACGCGTCGAATTCGTTTGCAAAATATAGCAACCGCGCCGAGTTTGCAACGGTATCCACGGTAACACGAGCCATCGCGTTCAGTGAAAGCAAGCAACGCGTTCAATCATTCATATCATTGCCACATATCCATCGATAATGAAATGGAATTACCGTGGCACAATCGTTATATCACGTTTGCCACGTGTTCTTTCTTTCCGATACATATTGCACGCGATTGTTTGAAATTGTCTCGATGTATTAATATAATTTCATACGGAATGTTTTGTTTCTAGATCCATTTAAAAATGATTATCAGGATAGCGATCATGTAATTCTTGCATAAAAGCGGGAACGTGAAAAGTGAAAAGTTTCACGTGAACTCGACTTTTATCTATCATGTAACTTCTCAAGCAATGAAAATTTACATGTAAAATTTTTTCCTTTTCACGAGTTCAGTTAGGGGAAAAGATACATGATCGATACCCAAAGATGTGAGAAAGGCATTGCTTATAGTGCAAAAAATCCTCTGTTTCATCGAGAATTTTACAATTTCATTAACTCGAGAATCGTGTGTTAATTCGGAAAAAAACAGATATATTTATATAGTAATAAAAATGAAAAGACGACAATAATAGGAGTGCAAAAGGCAAGTGATTTAAGATCCACGTCATTATAATACTCGATTGTACTTGTAATGCTCTGTAATTAGTAATTACGGAAATAATGATACATCTCTTCGACGAACGTCGATCTTGTATATGTATCGCGCTACGTGACGTTCTACAGCTCGGTGATACTGAAAAGGCGGCATTGTGGTGACTTCGAGAAGAGCGCGTCGCGTCATTGGGATTTCGACAGTCTCACCCGAGACGATAAGCCCAAGTTCATTAAGATTATCTGTATGTATACTGGAGACTTGCCAGATGCTCAGGAACTGCAGACGCGCCGACTGCGTTTGCACTCAGCACCCTTCCTTCTAGATCCACCTTATCGCCTGTGTCAACGAGGAAATTTAACGGAGATGACTGCGGTCTTTCGCGTTTGGACGATCGGCTCACGGCAGCATTAGAAGGGACTCGATGATGGATGAAGGATATTTCGTGTCACGGATAAATCGGCGCTTGACACATCGCGATGTGTGCTCGTCAACGTCTCCAGCCGCAACCACGCGTCTTTTCGAACCGAAAATGGAGTGCCACGCGCGCGCCGCACTGCCGGTTATGTGCTCCCGGTATTCGTCGTTCTCCGATTAGGATAAAACACACTAATTGTTATACTGAGAAAAAATATTTGGAAATTTACCTGTGGGAGATATAAAGTTTATTCACAGAAATAAATTTTATTTCACAGAAATAAACTTTATATCTCACAAGTGAATTTTCAAGTATTTTTTCTCAGTGTGACATCTCTCTTAGTCCAGACAATATTCTAGACAAAGCTGCTTTTTCTTGAGACCAACGACAGTTTTGGTTGCGAAATATTCTTTTGGGATCGTAAAATGCAGGCAAGAAGTTTAATTGCATGATCGTAAGAAAAACCAGGTTTCTCTCGAGTGTCAATGATTAAGGCGGATGCCAATAATTACGTGTCTTATACTAATCTCGACGCGATTGCCACTACCGTGGGAAACTGTCCGCCACAGACCACCTTATATTTTTCATTTACCTGCTTATATCGTTTGTTAACAAATATACATTGTTGCCGGATAACTGATACTCGATTGGCATTGAATGTAATCGCGTCGTCGCCACGTCACCTTTTCGATCTTTCGCGCGCTGTCATTCACGAAGCATGCAAACGCCACCGACGCATTAAAATCCGACACGAGTCGTAAACATTCGCACGCTTCGCGTAACGGTCGGCACAAGCGATACGGCACACGCGATACGGCAACCGCGGCCTGATAACGGCCCGACGATATTGCACGGCTGTACGAGCTTCAACGTCGGGTGACATCAACTAATTATTGTTTTCCTTCTTGGTAGTCCGACCGGCGGTAGTCTCTCTTTCTCCCCTTTTCTCTCGCCTCCACTCTTCTGCTCTCCTTTCGCCGACACACCGACACACGAGAACTGTGAGACTCGTGCGACGAATATGAGGCGCGCGATGATCAATGAGGAGGAATAAATAAAAACTTCCGCGCGCGCGATCAAAGCCAAAGAACTTCCTCGAACGATATTCGCCGGATGTGATGAATCCCTTCCGCGATTGTATCTCTGTCTCCTTGTGCTCTGAGAGAGTTGCTATCTGAGACAGTTCAAATCGAATATCTTTTCGACATCTTTTCGACAGAGCACATTGCAATCTTTTACATTGTTATCTTTTACGGAATGAAATCTTCTTAAACAGATATACGGGTTTGCTTTTTATTGTCGTTCTTTCGAAACTGGCGTATGATCGGCGGCTTCCACGCGAGATCAGCTGTCTCGGCGCCTTCCTCGCGCGTTTCTCAGCCTTATTTCCCACGCACGTGGTGCAAAATCGCGTTCCACCCTTGCGGGGCCTTGCGCGTTGTTTACGACCGCCGATCCGCGGCGCGGTCTTCTTCGCGTGCACGCAAAAAGAGGTAGCCTGGCTTGCCTTCCTTTTTTTGGCTCTATTGCGGTTGATTGGCGAGGCCAAGATCCCGCATGATACTTGGCGGTATGAACTGGAGCGTCAGCACCCTTCTCTCTCGTACGGGCGCACGGCAGAAATTGGGGATATTGCGAAAAGGATGAGGGACCAGCGAGACGAGAGGAAAGGCGGAGAAAGTGCGCGTGTTAAGTAAGGGCACTCGAAAACGCGCGCGCGAGTTCGTCGGCGATCATCGAGAATGAATCCTCGGGCGGGCCAAGCCCCGTGAAAGCCGGTCAAAAGGTAAAACAGCTAAGCGTTATTCGCAAGAGAAGCGAGATATTCGCTCGGATAAAAGTCGGTGGGTGTTGAGAGACCAGCGAAAGATACTCGAGAGCCTCGAGAGCCATCATGCGCTAAATACCGTTTGAGCGTTTACGCGTCTGCCGCGCAATTCTAACAACAGCATATGTATATGTACACGCACCGGCGTTAATGCCGTCCGAATATCCGTGTGACTCGCACACGATAACGCGTCACTCATACACTGCTGCGTGTAGGTGAGCTAAGAGCATCACGGAGTGGCGGAGGGAGCTAGCGGTATACGATCGTCGGACGCTTGGAGAGGGAATAGTGGTGGGAGTCGCGGCGATCTTCCATCCTCTATCGCAAACGTAAGAACGAGAGAAATAGCATTATAAGACGTCTGGACAGAAATGCCGTCCTAAAATACGTGTGACACACACTAAGAAAACGCTTGACTCACACTGTCTCGTCTATACGTGAGCAATACGCGGTGTCCCGACGACTGTTTCGCTCGCTCGAACGTTCATGCATTTTTCATTGTTAGCAAGGAAATTACTGTAATGTAAAAATCTTGGGGAAAGGTTTTTAGGAG